AATACTAAACAGCGTCTAGAAGGAAATGTTGACAGGAATGTGTTTGACAAATATACACATTAAGTTCCAATCAGTTATATGGTGTGCCTTAAGTTTTACTTAAATAAATACCGTATGATATGTGTGATGTCCAGGCACAGAGGTAAACATATTTAGGGTCGAAAAATTATTAATGATGAAAACGATTGTTGGTTTATCGAGTTTGAAATCCTCATTTAAGTTTTGGAGCCTGACCCTTTCAGGCTCGTTTGGTATAAAAGATATATTTAGATGAATCACGAGAATTGGTTTGTAAAAATGTGTACCAATGTGTAAGCATTGTCTTCACTTACGATAAAAATTACGGTACGATAAGATTGTAAAGGACAACACCTATTAACAACAACCAAATCTAGTCCTAAGACACCATCAATATATCAATACTTGTGACAGACCATAATAATATGGATCTTCCCACGTCAACTCCATCCATCCATGATTGATTTATAGAAAGTCATCAAGCTACTAATAGTCTCGTTGATTTTCAATTTACTTGTCTAGAAAGGTAGACATAGTTAATGATAGTTATGACTGGATTATGATTGACTTTCACACATGAAATTACTTGTGCGAATATGTTTATGTACTCCATGATAGAGACGACTTATAATCATAGTGTACGCAGTGATTTATGTGTGACCAAAATTTCAAAAAAGATCGGTTTTGTCGGAAAGACTGCTTCGTTGGCCGAGTGGTCGCAAAAGCGACTGCCGGGCAAGGGGTCTCGGGTTCGATTCCCGGGTCGGGAAAAGTATTACTGGGTTTTTAAAAATCTCAGTAGTAGAACGGAGTCTGGGAATTTGACCGGTATATGGCAATAGGCTCACCCCCTATTACATGGGACTCATAACATAAATAGTGAAAAGTGGGTGTTACATTGCAGTGGCATTAGGTGCCGAAATGTGCACCTCTTTAAATATTTTACGACTTAAGTATATCTTTCTTTGTTATCTTAAAAATGGTATAATGATCCTGCAATATTAGGTAGGAATGTAGTGCACCTAGTTTCATCGATGATAGAAGTTTTATTTGTATAATAGAGTTCAAGCTAATTACGAAGCCTTAATTAGGCAAATCCCTACGACAGTTAGAATAAACTTAGCTGTTCACACAGATTTTTTTTAAGGGGTTAAAATCATCGAATGACTTCTTCCACCTGGGTGAGGCGGGAGGGAGTGTCAGACTCTTACTGACTAAAAACCACCCCGTTCCTTCTCTTGCACGTCGAGCCGGAGCCCCAGTAACCCACAACACAATTGAATATTTCTGTTATATACCTAAGTCCAAGTATCCCACGCTACTTGCATGTATAAAAGGTGTTACAATTTAGTAAACAGTGCATCGTTAGTTGACTGTTTAAGTTTGGGCTGCATGGTATAATCCGTTTCAAATATCAGTTGCGTGAGGAAACGGCACGTAAACGGCTTACTTGCTTCAATAACGGCTTTTTGTGTGATTACTGTTACGTGTTCTTATATAATTTTAATATAAATATCATGTTTGAACACGCCATGTGAGAGTTATACCTACATAGTTATCTGTAATTTAGATTAAATAGATTTTTTTGAAATGGGACTGCAAATTTAATGCTTTTTCTCAGTTGACACAGTAAAGGTTTTGTAAGGGTCGATAGAGATACATTAGTATTTTAATAAAATAAATCTCATGTTTAATTTTTTAATATCTGGTTTTAAAATGGCACTGGAAATCAGGCACGTAGTGTTACGCCTTTGGTATTTGCCAATTAGTCGAAGTCAGTCGTCTGACATGTACTTAATAAACACCCGCATGTCGCTACGAACAAATATTATGTTAAACATACCCAACTTAGGTACTTAAACAGTTTATGCTGTTATGTAGTATGTCTGCCTAGATAATTTTTAATGTATTTAGTCGAGTGCGTACTTAAATACGTATAATTTTAGTCTAAAATAATCATAGATACAGATACTACGAGTTCGATCCCAGGTAGCACAATCTAAGGTAAATTTTTCAACTCATGTCTGCCGAAATACGTTTTGAGGACAGGTGAAATAAACATTACAAACCTCATTAGTCTTTCTAGGAATATTAAAGCATAGTACAAATGAGTGTTATAATATTTCGCCATTATATTATAATAGTTGGCACATTACACGTTACCTGTGGTAATAGTGATCAGTACTGAATATCTTCAAGACCACTGATGACAGGGGCTTTATGGTAACGATTGTCGAAGCTCGTGATTGTGTGTTTTCGTAATCATTCAGTTTCGTAAAGGATTTAATGATGGTCATTACTTATGATAGGCAGATGTTTTTTAATAAATTATATTGGTGTCCTTTCTATTTCTTGATTTATTATGTTAGTTAAGTCACAAATGCGACTGCCGAACAAGTGATTTTGGGATTGATTCTTAGGTCCGAAGAAGTGTTATTGCAGATTTTTCGGTGTTTAGAATAGGTTTCAGTAATCGTTTTTTTATACTTGATGGGCCGTCGTCGGACCACTATCTCGCCTGGCGGTAAGTGATGATGCAGTCTACGATGGAGCACGTCGTCTCATAGGCAACCTATTCGCTATGCAGTTTGGCACTATGCTGAGTGTTTGGGTCACCCCTAATTACATGGGACTCATAATGATAGACCCTTTTGACAAAATGCCTATAGCCATCAAATACACAAACAAGTACAGACTATTTAGAAGAATGAAGCTTGTTTTTCTCAAATGGCAATGAACTGTAATAATATGGGTGTTAAGGTACATGAGTATCACGTACTTTTGTACCTTTAAATCCATGACTGCCATTCGTTACAGCAGTAATTTGTTTGGTGCATTCAATTAGTTGATCCAAGGTGCGTTGGGCAATCTAATGGGGGTTATGAACTTAGGTTCATTCAAAATTTTCCTTATCTTTTATCATTAAATCAACACGCACATCCATCACAACTGTTTTGTTTACGAATGTAAAGATTTAATCGTAACGTTTTTTACGAGATTTGGTGAATAAAGTATCTACTATGAAGAATACTTTGTTGGTTGACTTATACCTATTATGGGACTTCTGTAGTTGTAGATCTCAGATTGCGGTTAAATATTATTGAGTTGTTTGCTAAAATAACTTTAACATGTCGTTCTCATGAATATGAACCTCTAGCATGGCTTGAACTTGTCGACTTCAATAATTACGCGAGTAAGCCGACAAACATAATAATTAATTTTGTAACGCTAACTTTAATATCAATACTAAACAAATTATTTTATTATTTATATATTGTTATTTTAGCCATCGTCTACCCTCCTTCCACTCTGTAGCCAATTCTTTTAATATGCGTCAAGTTCATCCCGCCATCTCCTTCTGGGCCTGGATCTCTGCATATACCGCTTTTGGTAAAAAAATTCTTCTGTTCATTACTATTTTGAGAAATACTTAGGAGTGTATTGTGGTTTGCACTACGAATTCTGATTTTCAATACATACGGTGGTATTTAAAGTGGATATTCAACTTGTGTGTAAATTGTAGACATGCCTAAATACCAGTGTACCGGTTGTCCTTCCTCGCTATTTCTGACCAAAATATAAAGTAATATCAGATAATTTAGTGCTAGAACTTTCCGTATTTTTATTTCCTTATATTAAATTAAACAGTGTAGAAACTAGAATCTTTGTTTTAGTATAATAAAAGCAACATAACATAACGTTTCATACTCAAATAGTTCACGAAGGTCGTCAGTAGTAAAGTTGTAGTACAAAGGTTTTTTACTATTAAAATATTTGAATGCTTTAATTTTTTATGGTATAATCCGGTAAACACCACCCATGGACACCTGAAACACCAGACGCGTTACAAGTGTGTTACCGCCTTTTTGGGGATTAGAAATTTTCAGGATTGTTGGAAATTGGGGAGATTGGGGAGGGGGTAATTTGGCACGACAATTAACATAACGTCTGGAATTGTACGAGATATGTGCACCATAGCACTGGGCATCAAGCATCGTACAAGGGATCATCGTATTTGGCGAAAAAGTCGTTATAAAAGTTATAAAGGCGATGTGAAAGACGTGATGCTATGTACATTTAGTATGTATAGGAGCTGTGATAACTAAATATTGCAGCAGCTTGCAAAATGCATAGCACTGTCAGATACTGCCGGTGTTAGCTGTAAGTTAGTTAGTTTGTCGGTACACATTACTCCCTGACAAAAACAGTTGCGTACTAGCCCCGTAGGCCCAGTTACGACAGTGTCGAACTGATAGTATTCTTACAAAACAAACCACTGAGTAGATCTAATCTTGAGACCGTCGCATAAGTTACAACATTATACTTCGATTAAATCATATTAGTTTCGGTTGTGGTCACTTCAACCTGCCACGGCACTGATGCGATATTAATTGAATGTCGCCGTCTTATCATTTTATTTTGCATGTTTGTCATCAGTGTAGTACTGTGTAACAGGTGTCGGAAGGTTCCAGTTGCAATAGTAAGGTAATTTGATCACATGTTTACAAATCTATCTAAGAATCTAGGTACCTACGACGCCAGCTCACTAATTTCTATATAAATTGACTATGTATTTACGTAGTATAGTATACCTAAACGTTCTATGTGAATATCTAAACAATCTTTAAAATACACAGAAGAAGAATTTATAATGTTATTTTTATTTAGATACAATTGTTTCGAACTAAATTGTAACAAACAATTATTTTAACAATTTCGGTTACCGTACACTCACTACAATTATCTCCTTTTATAGATTTTAGTGAAGTGCAACGAAACAAAAATATTTTTAAAGAGCTTTAAGTACAAGTAATCGTAAATTACGTGCTTATTGCCACAATAATATGAATCGGGACAACAATTGTACAATTCAAACAAGAACTGCCGTAAATTGTTTTAATTGAGGACAAGGATGTCGAGCTGGGGCCGTGGCGTGCGACTGCGGTCGCAGGCTCTATCCAGTTTTAATTGATCGTATTCACCTGTTGAGATCGGCGATCCGATGCCCTTGCGGAGTCCCCCGCTGACGTCACTGCGGCACACGTTATGTGGACTTCCGACCGGATAGGTTTAGCACATCACTAGCACTAGGAAATGTGTCGAGTTGCGAAACTTCGGAGGTCGCCGGCAGAGAGCGCCGTCGCCGCGCGATCACTGAAAACTAAACCCGCGCACACTATCGCGCACCATGCCGTCGCCGTCGCCGGCGCAACGACGAAAGCGCGTTAGAAAGGGACGAATAGTCATTTCTTTCGTTTTGACCGGGCATCGATAAGTAAATAGCAGCTTTCATATTGATGTGATAGCCAATAAGCCTTGCCGGTAAATTTAAGCTGGTTTTGCATGTTTTTGAAACTAACTCTTTTGTATGTAAAATGTCTTGTTCAAAAGCATCTCTCTAACTTACAATTAGAAAGGCATCAGATATCCAAAAACATTTTGAAAACGTTGTGCATAACGACTGCATAACATAATTATTCGTTGGAAACGTAATTAAACCTGAAGTGATCTGTGATCGCTAATTTTTAAATAACTTCCTTGCGAGGAGCGTATAATCAGGAAATATAGGCGAGGTTTATCAGTTTGCGTACGCGCACCCGTGCGGAACGCGCCGTTGATTTTCCGCTAACTTTTCACCACACGTAACGGGTCGCGGATGTCAGACTTGGATGCAGGCTGCCAGCATTGTGCCGGTTATGTAAATAAACGATTAAATATAGATTACGTCATTTTAATGCGTTCGTTTGACTTTTTTGATGACATTTTAATAAAAAAACGTTATTATGGTTCTTTAATGAGCACGAGTTGCATTCAGGAAGGCGTAGCGATAAAATACATACAAATTAAATGTAAAATACGTTTAAGTGACATTATATACATCTGCAATCCTGCATGCAGAGTCACGTTTATATTTCTTATGTATATAAACCCAAAATGTTGCTTTCAATATATTGATCGATTAATAGTAGCAAATTCTGAGATCTTAACATAAATCGTACAAAGGTCACCATGGTAAACACTAATGAACTGACCGGCATTAAATTTACATGAGTTTTAATGTAAATCAGGTTAAATTATATAAGTGTCAGTGAAGTAAACAGACCGTGCAGCTTATGAGAAGATACGGACCGTTGACTTTGTTTGAGCATTCCATTAACAGAATAAATTGTACCTCTAGAGCGATTCCGAGGATAAAAGTGAAGCGATTAAACGATGAATTTATTACTTTTGTTCTGAGTATTGTGCAATTATGGTAAATAGTGTTTTGTTCGTTCTTTTATTCGTAACAATACGTTTAAATATCTTTTTTTCGAAATGCATGTAGAAATTCGTTTTGTGTAATGAAAATTATTTTGGAACGTATTAAGAGGATAGGATGAGATATTTTAAAGATGACGATAACGTATGATATGTCAGTCATCCCTTTGGTTCTGCGTGCTTTTGTAGAAGTTTTCCCATATCCACCAGACATACAAGCTTTGTTGTCAATTCTGACAATTTACAGATTATATTTTTTAACAGCTCCAATGTAAACAGTCCTTTAGGAAGTTAATATCCAGGCTACATTACACGTCTTCTGCCAGCAAAGAGATAAAATGTTAATTAAATGTATTATCGTTGGATTGATCGTATCGACAGATTAATGTGTTTCAATCAATTTAATGTACTGCAATATAAATTATCCAATGTAAGTACTCAATATAAGCATACAAAGGAAATCGTGAAAGGAATTGAATTTTGTTTTAGTGAACTAAAGTACAGCTATTACTGTGTATCTTTTGTTTGTTTGGTCTTGTGCATGCATTGTGCAATCCCCACATTTACGTGTTCGCTATACTTATTATCATGATTGATGTGAAACTAGCTTACTCAAACTAAATAATAGTGAGGTACGTTAGGAAACTCATACTTTGGCATTGATATATTAAACTCGAACGTCGGTCTTAGTCTTTTGTTACAAATACAAGAATACACTGCATTTACTGTATTCTTGACAGTGTTTATTCGCAAACGTTTCCGTGTGTGACATTGATTTATTTTCATTCTGAATATATCATGATTTATTTTCATTCTGAATATATTATTTCTAATTAGTTTATAAATATTATAGATTTAAAGAATATTCTAGATGTGGAAGTTTGGGTATGATAATTAATTTCTTGAATAAATTTTTTGGTGTGTTTTTATTAATCTTTCAAACAATTCCCAGCCTAGGTCAGGGTTTTCTGTTTCAGAATTACCAGTAATAATGATAGATGTAGGAAAAAAACTCAGCTTGTTGCTTCTGGGAAGCACAGGCGCAATGTTCTATTAATTTAATAACTCGAAGTTCGGTAGATGTAACTGTCTCAGCTGCCCGTTACATCCAGATGTTCGTGTCAATACTGACTGACAGATCCAATTATTCGCAACATGTTCTGATTCTATACAAAACGAGCATTTTAATAGGTTAGGGGTCAAACTGTTTATTGTTAAGATCAAAAACCTTGTGTTTGATTAGTTTTATTACAACCTTTTGTGCCAGAAGCCCGCAGGCTGTGAAAGTAAGTTAATTCAGGTAACGATCATAATTGCACTTTTGATATATTAAGTTGCCCCTCTAGGTGTATTGTCAGTTTTATGGTGCGCTGTGTCAGTAAGGGGTTAGGTAACTGTTGGAGCGCTCTACGTGACTCTGTCCGTAATTATCAACAATTATGTAGATATCGTCTGCATAACGCACCGCTGACAACCTCCATACCATAAATAATGAAGCAACAAGAATGTAGTTGTGCATGTCACGTTAATTTACAAAGTTATTATTCTGTGATGTACCTACTTGAGAATTTGCAAAGAGAAATCTCAGAGACCGAAGACCTTTGCGCGTTGAACTCTAATGTACGGAAGTTGTGACGCTAAGAGACGTACGACAAATGAAGTTAATATAACACATAATACACATAAACATAGAATCAAAACTATGGAACATGAGAGGCAGACCCCGGTACCAACTATGCAAAGTATGCAATCTGCTGCTTCCGATGTTCTACCGTGTGACACCTGCATGAGGACAAATAGCATCGTGCGAGCGCCCGGGTCGGCCACCGCGGCTGCGGTGTCCGCGGCCGCGCTACCGCCTGAGCCCGCGCTTGCGCTGGCGCCCGCTTCGGCGCAGCCGCCGGCGCCCGAGACACCGCGCTCTGTGCAAACTACCTATGCAGCGATGGCTAGGAAAACAGCGGATTCTAAAGATTACGTTAGTGGTTGGGTGGAAGTTAGAAATAAGAGGAGAAATAACTCCACAATAAAAAGAGGAGGTAATAACTCCATTGGATCTCTGAAGGCAGTTGAGCGTAAAAAGTTTTTACATGTGTGGAGGTTAGAGAAAACTACCACAGAAACAGATTTGAGGGAGTACATCAAACAAGTACTGGGAGTTGAAAACGATTCTGACCTATCTGTTGAAAAATTGAAACCTAAAACCGAGAGAGATTATTCTTCTTTCAAGATTGGTGTTTCTTTATCTAATTTTGAAAAGCTCTGTGAACCAGAAGTATGGCCAGTAAATGTCGAATACTGCGAGTGGGTTTGGTTTCGACCCTCAACCAAAGCTACCGACAACACAACTCAGTAAACACTCCAGGAAACATTTCAACATGAATATTAATATTTTATATCAGAATGTGAGAGGATTGAGGACGAAGACTACACAATTTCTATATTTGTTAGAAGCAGCAGGCTTTGATTTATTTTCGATCACAGAATCTGGCCTCAATGAAGGTATTCACGACGCAGAATTTGTGCTTCCTGGATATCAAATACTGCGCTGCGACCGAGCTGATGGGCGTAAACAAGGAGGCGTATTTTTAGTGGCCACACCGAGGTATGAGTTAAGGCGAGTGCCAGTGCCAATTGATGTAAATATTGACAATCAAAGTTTTGAACTTATTTGTGCTGCTGTGTACTTAAAAAGTCGTTTTTTATTCGCTTGTTGTACTGTTTACATACCGCCGAATACTGACGATAATGAATATATATTGCTGTTTCGCATATTGGAAAAGTTATGTGTAAAATATAAAAATAATTTACTTATACTAGGAGATTTTAACTTGTACTCGTGTAACAATAACATTTTTAATTATTACGAATATTTTATGGCATTCTGTGAATTCGTTCAGTGTAACGCGGTACCTAATAGTCACAATAGACAGTTAGACTTAGTACTGAGCGCGAACGGGTCCGTGTCAGTAGGCGCAGCGGACGAGGGTTTGCAGCCGGTGGACGAATATCATCCGCCGCTGGCCGTCAGCGTCGATGTTGGCGCGCGCGCTGCGACCGCGCGGTTGCCATCGTCGCCGCCGCCAACGCCGCCGTCCCGCGCCCCTCCTGCGCCCTCTGCTCTTTCTGCACCTCACGCACACAATCGTTCGTCTCCTACACACACTTCTTCATTACACAATAGTCAGCTTGCGCAATCCGCGATAAATCGTGAATTATTATGGAACTTCAATAAAGCTGACTTTATTACAATGTACGACTTATTAGCTAAAATAGACTGGAGTGAGATGTATTGTTTACAAGACCAGGAATTAGTTATAAATTTGTTTTATGAGAAGTTATATGGCGTGTTTAATATGTGTGTTCCTATAAAAAAGAATAGTCTCATGAACAATAATAGGTATAAATACCCGGTATGGTACACAGCTGACCTAATTAAAGACATACAAATTAAATACAAATTGCATAAAAAGTACAAATCTAGTAAACTACCGAATGACTACATGGAGTTTGCAAGATATAGGGCGAGAGTCAAGGCTGAGATCGCACGTGCTCATGACATGTACCGCGACCGCGTTCAACAGCATTTGGTTAGAGAGCCAAGAGCGTTTTGGGAGTACGTTAGATCCAGGAGGGGAATACAAATAATAGGAAATTAATTAAAGATGGGCGGATGCTAGCGGACTATGAGTGTGCTAATGAATTTGCTCGTTACTTCCAGTCAGTATATAACCCGGAGCCTCCCGTACTGAGCGCGGCGGCGGCGGGCGCGAGCCGTGCGGCGGGCGCGGCGGGAGCGGCGCGGGCTCACCTCGCGCTGCTGCGCCGCGCCGACGTGCGGACCGCGCTCGCGCGCTTGCCCCCTAAGCGTTCCGCTGGACCTGATGGTATTCCGGCCTTTATTTTTAGAGATTGCAGTGCAGTATTGGTGGATCCGTTGTTACATTTATACAACGTGTTTATTCGAACAGCAACGTTTCCCGATCGTTGGAAACTCACTCGGGTAGTGCCTGTGCCGAAAGGCAGTGGTGGCACTGAAGCTTGTGACTATAGACCTGTGGCAGTATTGTGCACTCCAGCTAAAGTGTTTGAGTCGGCCATTCACAGCAGCCTGTATTCACAGGTGGGTCCTTTGCTGTCGGACGCACAACATGGCTTTCGTCCTGGGCGGGGAACGACTGGGAACTTGCTGGATCTTATGACACACGTTGTACCGGCGGTGGATGCTGGACAACAGGTGGACGTAGCCTACTTTGATTTTCGGAAAGCCTTTGATACCGTAGATAATGATATCCTTCTGTCAAAGCTGGCCAGTGTAGGCTGCACACCGCACACACTGACATTCTTCTCAAATTACTTGAGAGACCGATGTCAGTACGTCGACTGTGGCGGAAGTCTTTCTGAGCTACTTTCTAGAGCCTACTTTAAGCCAGGGAAGTAATTTAGGGCCCCTACTTTTCATTTTAACTATAAATGATTTGCCGAGCGTAGTTAATAATTCCACACCGTTATTATTTGCTGACGACCTAAAATTAATTTTAAAAATAAAACAAACAGAGGATCATTACATTCTACAACAGGATATAGCTAAAATTGAGGAATGGAGTATAGAAAACCGATTATTTTTCAACGCTGCCAAATGTTCCGTGTTATCGTTTAGCCGAGCTCATAACCCGAGTCATCACCAATACTGCATGGCCGGAAGGCCACTGCAGAGGGTCTATGAGGTCAGGGACTTGGGTGTACGCTTTACTACAGATTTGAATTTTAGGACTCATATTGTGAATATTTGCAAAAAAGCTTACCGAAATTTAGGAATGGTATTACGTTTAGGTAACCAATTTACCAACTTTAATGCATTGAAAGCACTGTATGAAGCCCATGTAAAAAGTCATTTGGAGTGTAATGCCGTTGTCTGGTCACCGCATGAAGTCAGGTACAAACTGATGATAGAGCGTATCCAAAACAAATTTGTTAGATTTTTGTACTTGAAAATGTATGGTGTCTATCCGGGTTACCCGCTTTTATATCCGACTCTTTTTGTTTTGGGCATGGTGGGATATTTTAAAATTGAAGTGAGGAGGGAAGTAGCTGTCGCTACGTACTTATTTAAAGTGCTTCGCGGCAAATTATATAACCCGAGGGTTTTGGAGCTGATCCATTTATGCGTACCGGATGCATACGCGGCGCGCCGGCGTAAGCCAACGCTGCTGGCGATACCACGCGCACGCACCAACCTCCTACAGCGTGCGCCCCTGACGCGGGCGTTGCGGACGCTCAATGCGATGTCGGAATACATTGACTTATTTTATTGTACACTGAACGAATTCAGAAGAGCCTGTTACTGTACCTGTACCCATCTGTGACTTTGCTTAAGGAATATGTTTGTTACCATAATTATGAATGTTGTAGTACCTAATTGTAGAATAGACTTGTAATTTAATTTTATTAATATTGGCATACACTATTGCATTAGGTATTAGTTCCTGTTAGGATAGTAGTATGTATATAGTTTATAAATAAATAAATAAATAAAAATATTTTACTTATTTTCTTTTATATTTTAACCCAGTTGTGAATCGTTTATCATTTCAAAAGAGACGTTAAATACTTTGTCAACTGTAGCGCTTTATGGTGAACAGATGAAAATTGAATATATCTTCTTTTTTTTGTCATGATGTTGGCTAATTTGTTTATTCTTTTTTGCTGTCTCGTACAGCATTGAAATCACTTTAGTGATTTCTGTGAATCAGTGTGCTTATTATTTCCAGTCATTAAAAAGAAAATAGTGCTTACCTTAACAATTTATTCTTTACATTCATTCATTATTGAATACACTTAAACAACGCCAATGGATAAATTCTGCTAACATAATAACTACATGAACTGTGAAACCGCAACGAAATAAATGCAGCAGAACTATAACTTACAAATAGAGCCTGCAATTGAGATCCACAATAGAAACATTATAAATTATAGTTCAAATAGGTGATGATGATTGCCACTTTATTCTAAAGGTAGCAATTTACGTTTAGAACTTTATTGCATCTACATAGCTCTCATTTCAAAAACTACTTTATTTTGCTTTTAAGTGATGGAAGAATTGAAGGCTATACGTATGTGTGTACCTATAGTCGTTAGGCAACATCGTGGACTGTACAATGCACATCAAAACATAGTACTTTGGTCAGGTATTTTTAATTTACGGCTGAAATAGATTTTGTGGCAATTTGTACGTAGTTTCTGTCAAAATTTTTGATTATGTAATCTAGAGATTTTAAATTTCACACAAACAGTGAAACAGAAATACCGAGTTAACAGAATGAATTAAAGATGTATTGGTACAGTCTAGATCAACTCAGTACGGGATGGTTTTTAATCAGTAAGAGTTTGAAAATCCTCCCGTCTGGATTGAGATTCAAGGAGAAATAAGACGATATTTCCCCTAACAAAAAAATATAGTAATGGAGGATATTTTGAATTGCACTGTGCTGAATAAAAGCAGTTAGTTTGGGTGCAATATGATGTTGTGGCCTTAATTGATGGACTTTAGTTATTTGTTCGCACGCGTCGTGCTGCGATATACCTATCTAGTACATAGACACCACATACAGAATTGTTTGATGAACTACTATTTAAATCCGAAATAGATTGGACTCTGTACATGTACCTACTCTATATTTGTCGACCATGGTTTGATTAATTATATTACAAAAAACTCTAGGTAATAAGTAGTAAAAACATACACGCGTTGAGTTATGTATCTTATGAATGACTATCTAAATTAGATACTTCTATACAGTCACGGACCTCGAAAAACAATCAGAAACACATAAAACGGTAATAAAAGATGTCAGTGTAAATTTGAGACCGTGTTTCGGTTGAATCAAAACTAGTGCACGATCAATGTTCAGTGCGATCGTGTGTCACGAGCCTGCAAGGCTATTGTTGCACCTTTTACTTTGAATTAAGAGCGAGGAGCCTCGAATTACAATCCATAAATAATCCAAGAACGAATTTAAGGTCTGGGAGCAATCATACAGTTGATATAATGCTACAGTTATTAAATATCGTAAAGCACTACTGCATTACCTTCCAATCAAGATTTTATGGTCCTATGTAATTGTAATTTTAGACCACTTTTGGTTTTAGAAATAATTTTACGTTTGTTAATAACTGTATTATTTATTTTGGTATTTCAGAAAGTTTTGTGTTATTGAAAATGTTTCAATGCATTTGTATTGTGATCAAAACTAAGTTATTGTCAAATATGTAGTGGAAAAGCATTTAACTGTTAAACATATTTCGTGAATATGTTACTGACTTCTTCTTCAGTAAAAAACAAGTTCGTTGTTCGAGTTTAATGAATGATAAGAAGTTTCCTGTAAGAAATCTTCAGAAAAAAAACAAAACTCTGTGTATAAATATTTATTTACAATAAATTCAACATAAGAATACAATTACACTAAAGCCAATACAATTTATACATTATTTACAATACAGCTCTTTAGAGCACCGTTGTATAAATAACACAATTTAGATCGCAATGAGTATTATATTTACTAACGTTATAAACTATTTAATGATTTTTTGTACATTGAAATGCGCGATTGATGTTTTTGTACTACATCATTGTTCTGATTCATAAAAGCATACAATACTAAAAAATAAATAAATTAGGTTAATCTAAGTTTTACAGGAATGTCTACAATATCCGTCTTGATCATTTCTATTGACCAATAAATACCGATCGATGTGATAATATATTTGGATTCAACAAAAATATTTTTACGAAAACGGATTAAAATTTCAAAAGCAATTTTGTATTTAATTAACACAATGTAGGACGAAACAGCGAATCAAAAGATTAAATAACGTCTCACTCAAAAACATTTAAAAAATTGTTACATAAATGAAGTGCTTTCTATTTCTAACATTTGCGGTTTTTAAAACTGCTGAGACTGTGATTATGATTACCTATTATATTTAAAAATGTGTTGGTATAATTGGTAACTGAGGCTTGTATATCACCAATTTAATATTCAAAATGTTTATTTACAATTTTACATAATTGTTATCGATACATTAGTCCGTTTCGCCCTACATATTATCTTTAGCCGAGACGGCAACGCTTCATTAAATATATCTACATAATAGAAGTGTATGTATACAATGTTATCCGAAGTTCTCGAAATGATGTATGAAGTAAGGCAGGCGCCTCGTCCTGTTCACTTGTTCGCACGCAGACATCACGGACTTGGTGAGAGGACGGGGACCGCACGAGAACACACCGATTTTTGATACCTGAGAGAAACATTTCGTTATTACTGACAAACGGTTTATGTGAAAAATATTTTACATATACATGTTATATTCACTAACATGCTAGTGTATGCACATATTAAAGACAATGTACTGAAATAATTAGAAAACATAGGAGAATCAACATTAATAACTGTACAAGACCAAAGACCTACAGTGGTGCTCAAAGATTCAAAAGATAAGATAATTAAATCAGACAGAATAATAGTATTAAAAACTCACATAACTATGTTTCTTTTGAACGAACTTGAGGAAGGAGGACATGTCTGGCCTCCCGAAGTGATTCACCGCCTTCAAGCCGGTGAACATCGACGTCCGTGACAGACGCTGGAAGTGATTCTCGCAGATGTACTGTGGGACAAAATAATAAAAAAACTTGTGTTAAAGGATATTTTTAGAACGACTATTTATTTAGATAACATCAAAATTGATTCTAGTTAACCAGTCTGATTTATTGAGAGCAACACTGACGTTTAAATTGCAACAGATATTACAATAATTTTGAATAATATTGCAGTCAACAGATCCAGAACTCAGTAGAACCTTCTACTGGATCTGTTGACCGCGATATTATTGCAAAAGGATAATGAAAAAGAGAGTGAAAATATGATTAAAAAAGAATAATTTACTGTCTAATGTGCGTTTGCATAAGGTAATAAAATAGTAATGATAATAAAGACTTTACTGGGTTGAAGTAAGCGTGGTTGTTGTAAGATTAAAGTTACTCACCAGCATAGTGGTTCTGAGATCGAACTTGTGGAAGAACTGCGTGATGAAAATGTGTATTTCCAGTACATTGGTGACGTCCTTACGTTCTACGTCGCGTAGCACGTCGATAAACCACTCGAAGTGTTTGTGTGATGGACATATCCATAAGAAGTATACCTGTGTAATTAAATAAGTAAGATATTATAAACTCCTTTAAACGTACTGGCAATGTTATACTATGATAGAGTTTAAAAATTGTTGAAAATCTAATGTTCTTAGTTTTCCAATGACAAACATTAGCACATAAAACGGATGTGGCTTACTTAACGATGTGACATGAAAATACACTTAGAATGCAGCTGACGGAGTTGTTTTAGAGTATTTAAGGCGTTGTACCTATGTAGTTGAAAGTTGCAAACGTAAAACGTTCTTATTGTTTGGCACCCGTAAGTCTAGGTAACAATTAGGTAATCCATTAATTTAATTGTATATTTACAAAAATAAAAAACTAAAGGTCTTCCAATACTTGTATTGAGTAACATTTATTTATCTTGACCTAAGTGCTACGCAGATATTTCGTCATCGTGTAACTGGTATTACACAAAAGGCTTAAATCCCTAGTTAGAGTCTATGTCATCACTTTGCATAAGGACTGAACAAAACATTGTAGGTCTGTAGGTCAATGTTGTAAACGGTAAGCCACGGTAAGTCGTGAGTAAATATAAATAAATAAGTTCCAAATTCCATTGAAGAATTACGTAATCTCGAATTTGTTATTAACTAAATTCATGCCTACAAATAGCTATGAAAAGACTTATTTCACGGTTTTATTTGCAAGAAATAAGATAAAAGTTTTCGATTGTTTCGAAATTAGGCACAGTACCTTTAAATTCAGGCCTTTTTGATTTGTTCTCGTGGTGAAACTTTGTTGTTACTATTTATTCTGCAACGACTCATTTAACAAAAGAAATCTCTCTTACAGACTCAGTAGGTACTCAAAACTGATTCCTACAATTTTACTAGTTTTTAGATTTACAAAGTAGTACCGATATACAAAGAATGCAGGTTCTCATTTTACCTGCATATTTTTACATGAATTATAGTGACGTGTGATAAAACCAGCATAATATAACAAACTGACTGTCAATTTAACTTAAACCTAACATAATCATTGCATCTAGAAAACTGCAATATGGTTAAAACATTACCTTTTTGCAGGCGACCCCTGAGTATCGGTTGGTGGATGTTCCGAACACGAGGTCGTTGAGTATCGACGCGTAAGGCGTGACTCCGATTCCGCCGCCCACCATCACTGCCACCTCGAACTTGTACCAGTCTTGGTTTCCACCACCGAATGGACCTTGGATCCTGAGGAACATGGTGATTACGTAAATTGTCTTTTTATGAATGTAGATATTGGACAAGAAAAATTGAAGTTTCATTTAAGCTAGTAAAAATATGTAAAATAAATATTCAAACTTAAATTAAAACCTAAACTTCAAATACCTTAGTATTGATGTACACATGATCTTATTTAATTTGACTAAAAATTACGAGTTACTCACGTTAATATACTGAGAAAATCTGTACTAGTAGCGTGCGCGATCGCGGGAGGAGTCCCTCTGTGACTCGAAACTAGTAGAGCTTTTATTTTCGGTATATTTACGTGAATAACTCATAATTTTTAGTTAATTCAGCATGTCTCACGATAGTTATTATTTAACATGATCGTTGTTAACTCTATTGGTTATTTTATTTTGATAACTTTAAAGTATTAACAAATAGGTTTTTCTTTTTCACGAATTTTAGTGATCGTGTTCTCCTACAAATCACAGTTACCTAATTTTAGGATGATCTTCGGTATTAAAGTTACAGGGATCGAAGTAATTCCTTAGTTTCCATGTCCAGGGACCTTGTGCTTTGATGTGACACGATAAGAAGTTCTCGTGAGGAGCTGATGTTAAAGTGAATGAATGGAACTCTTCCTTCTTGAATGCCGTGCAAGATAACCGCACCCATTGACCTGGTACAAGAGAAGAAAGTTTAGTAAGAAACTATAAAGAGTAAGATTTTGTGAGTGTTTGAACCATTTGGTAGTGGTTTACCTGATAAATATTTTAGATTCGGTGGCCTGTAGAACTTTATTTTGATCACATCTGATGGTAACATTTCGGTTTCTAATACATCCAATGCTAAGTACTTTGTTCGTAGGGAGACCACCTGAAAGAAATTGACATTAAAATAATGTATGATGAACAAAAATGGACCCTATGACCGTAATAATAGATTTTCTTTGACATTTTAATATAGCTTTTTTGAAAACTCTTACCTTATCAAGCGTATAAATAATAGCAGGTCCTAAGAAGAATATCCAGAACCGAGGTGCTCCAGTGAGCCTTGCAAGGCCGTGTACGAGGCAGAGCGCATAAAGGAGCACGTGTAGGGAGTGTGCGCGCCAGAACCACGGATATGCGCGCTTGCGGATCACAGGGTGCGCAAATACGAAGATTATGCACATTATCACGAATAGTAACACTCCACTCACACCTAAGACCAGAAGAAACAAAATTTTAACATTTGAAACAGTTCCAAATATAAATTACTACCAAATATGAATTTACTTGGGAATGTTAGATTTTTTATTGCTACTGACAATTTAGTATTATGAGAAGGCGTTACAAAGAAATAGGGTCTCTTAATTTTGCATTTTGCTGAAGAAAATAGTTAGGTATCTTTTTTCGAAAGCTGAATTTTGCACAATCATTCTTACCTGTAACAGTTTGGAATACCCAGTACGTAATGCCAGGTCTGAAATCAGACGTGAAGTGTACTTCTTTGGTGAGACAACGCAAGTTCTCTACTGGCTGCGTTGACACGTGGTAGAAGTTCACCATATGTCCTGCCGTGTGTAGTAGAGAGAAGAATAGTGCAGTACATGCCACTATTTTGTGGAACTGTATACTCGAGTCTAGTGGAATGTATTGTTGTATGCTGAATTCCTGTAAAAAATGTTATATATTGTCAAAGTTTTGCTTATAAATATAATATTTGGAGATATCTGTAGCTTGCTAAGGCCTAAATTACTTTTCTGTCAGAAATATTTATCAATAGTTATTATTCTTCAGTTTTCTCACCTTTAATTTGGTCAACAGATTCCTCGACATGGTCAATAGTAGCAGACTGTAGCAGAAAGATAAAGAGGCAGCAGAACCTCTGGTGATGGCGATACCAACACCCATGATATGTCTCAAGTCTAGATGTTCCGACATGAACGAATAATGTGCAAATCTTTCTACAAACAGTCCGATAGTCACCACGTAGAAGACGAAGAGGTAGAAGATGTTCTGTCTATTCTCTTCTAGGAAAGTTGTTAGGTAGTCCCATTTTAGGAGAAGACAGTGCCTGCAAACAATATTTGATATTAAATTGGTAGATCGCTAACAAAGAATATTAAATCGCATGAGTAATGCCAATGTCCATTGACATATCTAAGGAGCTAAAGATTGAAATCCTCTAAATCCTCTTGCATTAGCCAGTCCAGATGGCTTTGCTAAAAATAAAAATTGCTTGATAGCGTGGTAATGTGCCATGATTTTAGGAGCGTAGGGACTTTTTGAAGAACTTTTCATACCTGGACTGTTCCATAGGTGGTTCGATATGGAAGCTGGTCATCCTCGCGACGTTTGTAGAAGTATCGAGGAAGTTTTGCTTGGCTCCCTTGCAGTCCAAGCCGATGGCGACAAACTCTCCTTTGTATTCCTTCATCATTACTTTAAAGTCTGAGTACGTTAGATGATCTTTATGTTGGAGACCGGCATCCTGAAGAGTAACATAGAATATGTCATTGTGACCTTAAATTGATTCTTATCATTTATTGCATGAGATCATGGTTTATAAAAATTAGCCAAATTTGCGGTTAAAATATATAGAATTTACTAGAATTAAAAAAATATCTTGAATTAAGTTGAAGATCATAGTAAAGATCAGTAACTAAATATAGCTTGTTGATAGTGTTACATCAAAAGGAGAAGTTGTTGACTCATAGTAACCATTAAAAATTATTTCGTGAAAAATATACTTTTTAGTAAATATACTGTCTGACTGCCTCGTTGGCCGAGTGGTCGCAAGTGCGACTGCCGGGCAAGGGGTCTCGGGTTCGATTCCCGGGTCGGGCAAAGTATTACTGGGTTTTTAAAAAATTGTCAGTAGTAGCACGGAGTCTCGAATTGTGCCCGGTATATGGCAATAGGCTCACCCCCTATTACATGGGACTCATAACATTAATAGTGAAAAGTGGGTGTTACATTGTACAGTGCCATAATGTGCACCTCTGCCTACCCCTTCGGGGATAAAAGGCGTGATGTTATGTTATGTTAAATTACTGTATAAGATTTTACTTACAGAGAACATGCCGTCAATAAGTTCAGTAACGTGTTCGTCTCTCAGTGACGTGGTCCTGGCGATCTCAACTAGGGAGCGCAACATCTCACTGAGCTCTCCCTTGTCAATCACACCGTTACGATCATCGTCACACATGTCAAAGATAATGCGAAGCTTGTCTTCTGTCGCTCCTCGAGAAAATAGGACTACCGTGTCCAAAAATTCCTATAAATGAAAAATAAAGTTTTCAATAAAGCCCTTACATAATTTATTATTGAATAAAGATGACTTGAAGTATTAATAGTGTGGTTGTTTGTACCTGGAAAGAGATCCTGCCATCTCCGTCTTTGTCGACAATGTTGAACATTTTCTTAACGAACACAGCATCTGCTTTCATTCCAAGTGCGCTTGCAAATTCACTCTTTGAGAGTGATGTTCTCATTACAATAGACTGAAATAATAATTTGAATTAATTTTATTTTTAGTGAACAGTTTAATTTCATTGTTTTCCAATTTTGTATTGTATTAAATAAACACTATCGTGAGATGTATGAGTTCAGATGTGCCTTATGGTAGAGCTTTTCTCTATAAAGTTATGTAAAGATTTTTCTTTAAGGAGGGAGGGAGGGGGGGAATGTTGAATGATTTCTCCCACCGGTGAGGCGAGAGGGAGTGTCAGACTCTTACTGACTAAAAACCACCCCGTTTATTTATTTATTTATTTATATATACTTTATTGCACACACAGAAAAAAAAATTGTAAACATTGCTACAGTAATTAAAGTACAATGGGCGGTCTTATCACACGCGGCGATTTCTTCCAGACAACCTTTGGATGGAATTTTAGAAAAGAATCTGGGAATGGGTGGTAGATGCACAATAAAAATAAATCAAAATAGAAGGAAAGCAATAAAAAAAAACAAATTAAACAATCAATGAAACTTACAGACTACATATAATACATAAAAGATAAAAATGGCAATACTATTTAATAAATATATACTTAAATGTAAAATGATAACTATATATAGTTGCGTGTATGTGTGTGTGTGTGTGTGTGTGGTGTGTGTGTGTGTGTGTATATGTGATGTGTTTATCCATAATGAAAGGACAAAAGCATAACTACAGTGACAGGTAGTGTTCCTTCACACGTCCTTTAAACTGACCCAGAGTTTGAGCACGTCGCACTTCCACCGGCAGCGCATTCCACAACCGAGCCGCTTGAATTGTGAAGGACTTGTCATAAAAGCAAGTGGAGTGCTTACAAATGCTGAGCTTAAGATTTTCCGATGATCTCAGGAACTTCGAATGTGTGACACCCAGGAACTGAAAACGTTCCTTTAAATAGAAAGGGCAGCAGGATTAAAAAGTACATTAAATAGTAACGAAAGGATATGAGCGTTCCGGCGAAGGCGGATAGGCAGCCATTTGAGCTTACTACGAAATTCAGAAACATGATCATACTTGCGCAAACCAAATATAAATCTGATAGAAAGGTTTTGAAGGCGCTCAAGCTTATCCAATTGTTCTTGGGTGAGATCTAGATAGCTGACATCAGCATAGTCGAGTATTGGTAGAAGAAGAGACTGTGCAAGTGCAATTTTGGTTTTAGTGGGTAAGAAATTACGAAGACGCCTTAAGGAGCCCGCTGAAGCAAACAACTTTCGACTGACCACCTGCAATTGTTTATTCCAGGAGAGGTTACTGTCGATGTAAATCCCCAGGTTCTTAACATCGCGGGAGAAAGGAATTTTCGTATTTAGAAAAGAAACTTGGGGAAGACTTGTCCAATTCATTTTGGAGACGATACGCGCACTACCGATGATAGTCACCTGCGTTTTTGATGGATTTACCAGCAAACCAAATTTGGAACTCCAATCACCTATTCGTGCCATATCGTTGTTAATTAATGTAATGGCGCCTGGTAAATCTTCAAGAGAGGCCTGGGTGTAGATCTGAAGATCATCTGCGTAAAGGTGGTAGGAAGAAGATAGACCTTGAGAAATAGAATTAATGAATAATGTGAAGAGAAGAGGAGATAAAACGCCACCGTGAGGTACGCCGGCAGCAGTGGAACACCATGAAGACCTAGAATCCTCAAGGTAAACACGCTGACGGCGGCCGAACAGGTAACTATGAAACCAGTCAATTACCGACGGGGACATGCCAAAGGAGCTGAGCACGCCAAGCAGTAAGTCAAAGTCAACGGTGTTAAAAGCGTTACTGAAATCTAGGAGTACAAGGACCGTTAACTTTCCTGACTCCATGCCTGATCGGATGTCGTCTGTGATATTAACAAGAGCCGTTGTAGTACTGTGCCCTGGCCGAAACCCAGATTGGAAGGGACTTAAGAGGCTATGCTGGGATAGGAACCTGCTGATTTGTTGGTGGACCAGCTTCTCTAGGATTTTGGATAAAAATGGGAGGATGGATATGGGACGAAAATCGGTAAAGGAAGTGGGATTGGATTTTTTGGGTAGCGGGATTATGTGAGCATCTTTCCAACTTTGGGGGAAAGTTCTGTCGGTGATTGAAGAGTTAAGGACGAAAAGAATTATAGGAATAATTTCATCAAGGATAGGGATAAGCATTTTACGGCTAACGCAGTCACTACCAACGGCATTGGAAGTAGACGACAAGATGCTCCTTCTAACATCCCCCCCGGCAAACTGACTGAAGTCAAAGAGAGATATAACAGGTAACGGCAGGAGAGAAAGAGAATTTAAAGTAGAAGCTTTGGTTGCCCTATCCAGTACAGGCGAAGAAGAGAAATGACAGTTAAGAGAGTTATAGTTAAGATTATCAGGAATTGAATTTTGAGCAGATTTGCCTATACCCAATGATCTAAGAAACTTCCAGACCTTAGCCGGATCAGTATTTTCAAGTGATTTATGGATGTGTTGGCGTTTTGCATTTCTACACACCTTGTTGCAGTGGTTCCTGATCGCAATGTATTTGTTTTTATTAACGTCGTTTGGCCGGACTTTGAACTTGAACCTCGCAGCTGCTTTCCGAGCAATAAGGTTTTTAATTTCATCACTAAGCCAAGGTGCTGGAAGGTGTTTGACTCTAACGGCCCGGATCGGAGCGTGTTTGTCATACAGTTGGATAATGTTGGTGGTCAAAATCTCAACCCGTTCATCAACCGACACAGATTGAAACAAAGGTGTCCAATCAATATTACCAGCATCCTCCCGCAGGCGATCTACATTCATACCCTCAAAATTACGAAGAAAAAGAGTTTTCGAAGTATGCTTAGGGGGTCGAATCTTATAAGAGGCATAAATTAAGTCATGGTAAGAAAAATGATCAGCTGAACACTGTCTATGTTTAGCTATGTGATTGGGAGAAGAAACTAAAATTAAATCAAGTAGAGAGGGAATAGAGTTAGGGCAATGGTGAGTAGCATTTAGATTCAGTAAAGAGAGATTAGCTGATTCAATGACTTGAGTAAGAGAGGTAGAACGGGAGTCATTTTTTAAAATGCAGGTGTTAAAGTCTCCCATTAATATGGTGTGGTCGTACAAAGGAACAAATGATTCCAAAAGGTGCTCGAAAGAAGAAAAGAAATTTATACGGAGAGAGGGACAGTAGAAAACCCCAAGAAGAATCTTAGAGTGATGAAGTTCAACTTCCAGGAAAAGATGTTCACCACCGTTTGGAGGAGGTGGCTGCGCCGACACACTAACAATAGTAAAGGGTATCTGATTACGAAGGTATATGGCCACGCCGCCACCACCCCCCACTGCCCGGTCGTTCCTGATAAGATTGAAACCTGGAAGAGCATAGGATGAAGAGGGGAGGCAAGGTTTCAACCATGACTCTGAAACAAGAATAGCATGGACATCTTTGCAGTTGAAAACTGTCAGCATATCAATGAAATGAGCCGGAATACTCTGAGCATTTATGTGGATCACATTAAAGTTCCGAGAAACATCCGAAAAAATGGATACTAGTGTGTCAGATAAAGGAGGCACACCATTAAATGTACTGTCTTCGTCTGAAGATAAAGATAAAAACACATCAGAGTCACTGTTGTAACTCGTGTTTGGCATGAGTTGTGTACATGTATGTATATGTGTAAGGTAAATAAATAATATGTATAGATAAATAAGTTAATAATATAGACAATATAATATTAATAAATCAACAATAAATGAATATATAAAAATAAAGTTACTATACTATCAAGTGGATAATATTCATCCATCTGCCAGTTGACCTATCATAGAAATTTATAACAGCAACCAGTAGATTAAAAATACAAAAACAAGGAAGAAAAAAACGCTAATTAAATTGTATGGTAGTCCAGGTGACAAAATAAAATATTTATATAAAAGGAATAAAACAAGAACAAAACATTAACAACAACAGAGCACAACGTGTAACGAAACGTATCATTGACATCAAAATGTTGGTTGACATCATGTTGACATTGACAAAACCAACTTGACAAGTTGACACAATTTAATTTGTTAAGATTTTGAGTGAATGATACGATCGTAAAAATCTACTGCTACCGCAATTTACTTGTGTTGTAATAAAAACAAAGTGACGGTGAAATCAGACTACGGTTGAACCACCAGCAGTGAAATAACTCTACAACAATTCGAAAAGATGCTAAATTGTTAACACCGAAAGTACTTAATTATTTCCGCGTAACACGCTTCGACATCTTTGGCTTCGGTGCTATCTCCTTGGCTCCCGCTGCATTTCCAGGCTGCGCAACCCTCTGCTCAGGATGACCAGATGCACTTCGCGCGGCGTCAGACGGGAGGCCAATCTTATCGAGATCATCCAAGGAAGATACTCGATGCCGAGACCCCTGCCCATCGAGGATATAAATATCTCCTTCCTTTGTCCAACACTGGTTCACGCCGAATTTATCCCGAGCGGCCATAAAAACATTATGTCGGGGTTTGGTCAGGAATTCCGAAATTGTTAAACCGGAACCCTTTAACCCAGCCTTACCGAACCAGATGCTATCTCGAAGAGTCACATCATGGAGCTTGAAAATTATTGGTCTGGGCTTCTGCATTGCACGACCCATCCTGTGGCACCGCTTAATATCTGGCAACTTCAAATCAAGCTTCAGATGCTCTTTAGCTACCTGGACCACCACCTTTGCTGTTACCTCTTCTTTAGCTTCGGGTACCCCATGCAAGAGCAATATTTTGCGCCTTTTGCGCATTTCCACGGTATCATTGCTTTGAACCAGGAAATTGACCTGCTGTTGAAGCATAGTGAGTGACTGCATGACGAATGATCGAAAAGCAGCAAACTCTAGGCTTAAACCTTGGGTGGTATCGAGTGTGCTTGGGTTTTTTCTCTGCTCCTCCTCGAATGCAGTCATTCGAGCATACATGCTCTTGCTTAAATCAGAGACTGACTTAGTGAGTGCTTCCATACTATCAGTGAATCCACTATGTGGTTGCCGAAATTAGTAAGAACTAAACTGGCAGAAGTAACTATTTAATAATTTAAAGTTATCATTAAAGTTATAATAATAATAAATATGAATTAATAATTTAAAATATTTTTTAAATGCACTAGCGTAATTGAAGTGTTTACTAGGCAACTACCCGCGAACGAATGCGCGGAACGCGACGCGCAGTAAAGTTTATGTAGAGATACACCGTCGATATTTTAATTGATACTTTTTTATGTATGCATTCGTGAACATATAATTGGTAGAAAGTATTTTAGTACTCACTTCAGGATCAGCCTCCTCATTCCTTCGATGCCTCTTCTCCCCAGGAGCCAATCCAAATGTGATGGCGTAAGCTTCTCTAAAGAAATGTTCTAGTTTACGTTGCCTTCGTTCTCTTGTTTCTGCTGTAGCTAGAATTTGTTCACGGTGACCCTGAAACATTGATTTTAATATATCATTATTCAATTTTTTATGAAATGCTTTTGTAAATAGAGGTCTGCACTGTTTTTTTTGCTTTATCAACGGCAGTTATTAAGGGAACATTAATGGTGATCTAAGTACTACAGCTGTCGAAAGTCGACTGCCTTATTAACAATTTGATATTCTTATTTAGCAATTTTCTATTTTAAATTAATTAGATAAAAGATGATATCCTGTCTTTACCTGGGTCAAATTAAGTGCTTTCTTATGGTTTGCTAAAAATGTATCCAGTTTGACTAGAAACTTGCGCCGTGAGGCTGCGGAGTCCATTTCTAACACGAGATCATGTTCCCGTGGTGCACGGATCAAGACTAGAGGACGTTTGTTTGTTCTGCTTTCCTGAAAAAGATATTGACGAAGCATTAAATAATGGACAATTCTATGATCTTGATACATTGAATGGCTCATTTCAGTTTTTTAATTTTGTTGCTCTAATCTTGACGCAAGCAAGTTGGAGATTGCAGGTTAAATTATCAGAAATTACTGCTGATTGGTGTCTGTTACAGTAAGTAAATGCACAGTTTGTGCAGTCGCTTGGTCGGCTTTTATGACCTTCGCAGAAAGGAGTCACCATCTGAGAAAAATGAATATTTGAAAAATCTAAGATGCTCAAGAATTCAACAATATTTACCTGACTTTCAAGAACTGTGAGTTGATCAGTATGATCTAGTGGTAGGGTTCGTAATTTGTCTCCTTTCCGATCAGTGACGTGTAAAGCGGGTTCTGGTCCCAAACGTAACTTCACCAGCCTTTTGTGTGAAGCGTGCACCCATTCACGACATACCATTTTATCCACTGAACCTGGAAAAAAATGAAGACTATGATGAAAGTTGGTCTATACAGGTCACGTCTAATCATTTGAAACTGGCATCAGGTAAAATGTAGACTTTCTTAAAATCCTCTTTTTATCACTTATTAAATGATACTCCATCTTTTTATCTTCTCTCTCTTCTCTCCTTCAGTATTCAAATATATTGTTTCTAACCTTTGTACTGTGCATTTTTCAAATGCTCTTGTTGGATTTTCAGTTTCCTTCTGCGACTGTTTTGTAGTTTAACCACTCCGTATCCTGCGCCAGCGCAAAGTATCGGTACGAAAGCGAGTATCAAGCAAGTGTAAATGTATGCAAACTCGTTGCCCTGGAACAAAGTACAAGCTGTTTTATTCTCTAGTCCAAGGTCAAAGAATTTTAGATATTATTGAACAGTTATAATAGTTCCTACATTTTCCTGCTTACTCACATTAGTTATGTGAGTTGACTTGACAACTCGACAAGTTTCAAGTCTCGTTCGGGGTTGATAGCCATGACTGGTTCGAAACTAGACGAGTTACCTTGTCAAAAATTACGTAGGTGAGCCATAAAACTTCATTAATTAAATGAGTTATCTAAATTAATGCGATGGTTTGTTGTGCCTAACTATTGAACTGTAAAACCACTTACTTCAAAGTAGTCATATCCCCTAAGGTATTTGCAGGGTGGTAACTTGGATGCATTCAGCTGGTATGGTTGAGGGCAAGGGTCTCCAGCGCGCCAGTGGAACACATCGCGTTGTAAGTCCCGTGGACCAAGAGACGTACTGTTCACGATTATATCCCACATTGTAATCTGACGCAGTTCCTCGATCTCTTCCTTTGTGAAGATACTGAAAAGAATACAAGGCTGCATGTTATAGTGGATCTGAGTATGTAAAACAGTCAAAGCATTTATTCCAATTATACAAAAACATAAAAATTTTATTGTCTGTAAATCTGTAAATCAGTACAGATAAGCGCTTGTTCCTATGTTTAGACGATTTAAGTTTATTGTTATAATATCTATCGTGAGAAATATTAAATTTACTAAAAATCTTGCGGTCGTGGCTGCGTAACACCGCCACGACCGCGCATGAGGCCCCAATGTGGCTGGAAACTAGCAGAGCTTTTCTCAGTATATTCCCGTGTGTAACCTACAATTTTTAGTTGATATAAGTTTATATGAAATGGACTCACCCATTTTGTTCATTTTCAAACCAAAATCTGTCAGCGTCTCTGATTCTGGTAAACTGGTCTATTATGATAGCTCTGAACAGTTCCCCGGGATGACCAGTAGATTCCAACATTCCACCTGAAAGAAATAAATATAATTAAGATCTTATTTACTTGCAGTACCTGAGTAAATTACGTTTTGTACAGAACTAATTTTAGCTTACCAATATAAACATCAATGTTGTCAAGTCGTCCATTGTAAGCTTGAATCAGTTTTTGCAATAGATCCGGGTTGTTCTCAAAGAGTTGAGGGTTGATTTCGTTAAAAGTTTTTATTTTCTTCAATCCAAAATATTCTCTGAAATAAGTCAAATGAACACCATTAATATTCCATTGAAATCACTCTGAAGATCGAGTTTAAAATAATCCAAAAAATTTAATAGCCTTTGAAAATAAGGAGGGTTGACATTTGTTTACTAAATATTTAGTGAACATTTTATCTTACCTTGCTGTATTATAGTCTGGGAGTCCATTATCTCGTCCACGCATAATGTTAAGAGCTCCGAGGTCTCTTCTAGAAAATTCCATTGGTCCAAACAGATTGTCACGAACATCGGAACATAGTAGGGCGTCTTCTCTTTCTGATACTTGAGACGCCATTCCTAATAGTACTTCTTCAATCGGTACTTGAGACATCACATCCTGGAAAAAAAGTTGTGTAGATTTTAATTTTAGGAATATCAAGATTCTGTCTGGTATAAAAATAATGAATATCAATCTTATTCTATTCTGTTGTAGGAGTGTCTCCTCCTCGGGGTTAACCCTGTGAAAATGGGCACCGCGTCCCACGACCCGTAGGATAAACGCTGCTCATTGCTTCCTAGTTCCTACTAAATCTGAATTCTCATTCTCCTCCTTCCTCTGCTGCTGAATACTCTTTCTACCTTTATTTTGATGTAGGATATTATTATCTACCTCATTTATAAGTATCTTCATAAATAGATATTCTAGCCGATTTATAACTTCAGTAAAGGACTGATTGACTTAAACTTTCAAAATTCGTTTCGCCATTTTACTATTCTTTAAGTTTAATCGTATATTATATCAAAACAATTTCTTACTAACATTTCCATCCCACCAAGTTTGGCACAGTCTAATGGCGTCATGTCCTCCAGGAGCTCGTCCAAATTTACAGTTTCTGTCCCTCAGTAGTATGGCGGGTGGTACAAGAGTATGGCCGAAGCGGAAGGCGGCCACTGCGAACGAGTGCGTCACTCCTGGCGCCACGTCCGCGCGGTAACCTTTGTATGGCGGTAGCGGGACACCCAAAAATGCTGGCACGTACTCATTGAGGATTATGTTCTAAAAATAGGAATAGAATATAATATTTCAGCAATTATTTGTTTTGAACGTCAAGGGATCGTAGGCTCGATACCGCGTTTAGGCAAATAATAATTTTCCAGGCCTCAAAAATTTTTTGTCGTAGCGCGTAGATTAGAATCATACCTCATACCTGGAAAAGAAAAATAGTCTTACCCCTCGTACGCTACAACACAATTGGTGAAAAGTGAATCAATACTGGATGCTCTTTTTATCTATCTAATATTTTGCAGAATATTACGGTATTTATCCCTATAAGCCATACCTGCAAACTAGCAATAACAATTCTTCTTGCGCGTTGGAAAAGTTGTTCGTCACTCCACCCAGGATGTTGTCGATGTACGCGAGCGGCCACTACGTTGTGCCAGCGAAGCAGTAGGATACCAAACGTCACCATCGCTGGATTTTGATTGGTACGCGGATCACCCAATACTGAAAGAAAAATAGAACTATTAAAGCCTGGTGACATGAAGTTAGAAAGCATGACCAAGCCTTGGTGGTCTAATGATCATAAATGAGTTATGACGTCACAATTTTGGAATACTTACAGAATAATCTTTCAGGGCTGAGCATCCTCATATAATGCGGTACGGGATTGTTGAATAGAGGCACTCGCTTTGTGTTGCGTAGGGGCATCCCTCCTTCACTCGCAAGACTCCCGTTCTGTACATAGAACGAAAAAATACGTTAATTTCACAAATTCCTTAGAACAAAATACCAATCGATCCTAACTTTTTAGAAGAGTTTTTGCTAAATCAGTATTTCATTAGTAGTGTTTTTGTTATTCTGTTGTATATTCTGTTACTTACATGAGTAAGAAGTTTGCGGTTAAAGAAAATTAATACGTGTGAATTGATTTACTAAATGATGTAGTTTCCAATTTTTGCTATTATTTGACCTATTTCTCATACTTTGAAAGGTAAAGATGAATAAATTATGAACAGTAATTAATCAATGAAGCTTGTAATGTGTTCATATCGTATAACTTACGTGACCTTTGGCACATAGACTTGGCCCGTGGCCCGTGGTCGTCTGGTGAATGAAGAAACATGACTGATCGCGTACAAATACTTGTTTCAATTACATTGCACAATAAGAAATATTATTCAAAGCTTAATGGTAATAGAAGGTATATATGAACTTAAATTATAAACATATTCAATGGTGTCTAAATGTACAAGTTAAAATCCTAGATCACATTAAAATGACTAAACAGAGAAAAGAAAATGGAATCTTTTATAGAGGTATGATTCAACAGTATAATTCCAACACCTCGATTAAAAACCTTTACATTTACAACCGTGATTAATACACAAGTTAATTTGATTTTGTAATGTTAAAATTAGCTTCAAGATCGTTTACAATTACAATTTAATTTCGATCAATGTGAAGTTTCATGTTCATCGAAAGTACACGGGCTGATATGTGAAAGTTAGAAAGGTTGTTTAGGTGATATTATGAGGGTATGTAGTATAGATATGTAGTTATAGGAAAGTACGTAAAGAGGCAGGCGTGGCTGCTGGGTGGCACCTGAAATGACCTCATTGCATTCACCCACGCCTCACTCGTACTGTACACGAAGCTGCCGTCGATCCACGAAGTCATTTGGTTTATCTGCAACAATATAAAATGTCATACATACGCCATATTCAGGGTCGAACACAACATGTTCGCATTTTTCGAAGTGTTTTGAGTCATGTCTTGGCTACTAATGCGTATCTGTTACATGTAATCAGGTCAAATATTTGTACTTTGTTAAAGAAACTCGGCTCAGTGCGACACAGATTAGTCGAAGCTATTTAAATTGATTGTTCTGGAGATGTATATTGACGTGTCCATAGGGTTATGCATTCCTTAGTGCACTAAATAGTTTGATGACTTACACTTAAAATTCTTGAGCTGCATTCATTTAAAGTGTAGTGCAGAGAATTGACAGCTGAATAATGCAACAGGTATGGGGTTACTGCTAATTTATTCATCGGTGTGTTCTATGGTCGTACTTAAATAGCTCACGATTCGGAACAGGCATTTTGTAAGTAAATACATACATATATCCTTATTGTGCAATTTCTACCGAATTATAGATGTCTGCGATTACTTGTGCATGGCTGATCAAAGTAGCTGCAATTAAATGCCAATTAACATTCCTATTGCGGCTTGTAGTTTTAAGGTAAGGTTTGCTCGTAGGGACATATTTGTAGGCTGGTACTGCATTCATATGATGGGTGTATCTGGGTTATACTACCATTAAGTTTTATTGCCTGGAATTCGGCCTTCGATGAGCACGGTCCGGCGGAGGTTAGGCAGCGTTTACATTACACTTAAAAATGTGTGTTTTCGTAATTAGAGTAGTGGTATAAAACTGATTGTATAAAATATTTAATTAAAATGAATGCCTGGAATATAATGTATGAGCATGCTTTACGGTTAAATAAATAAGGTGGTGTTTTATAAACAATATATCTGTTACAGACAAGTCGTTAGTAATACTTACGAATGATCTTTAGGTATACATTCGACAATTTGAAGAAATCATAACTTTGGGTATTACCTTACATGTTATTGCATTTCTACAAAGATTATTTTTTATGTCCAATAGCTACCTTTAGGTAGGCAAATAAAACAAGTTAAATGTAGGTGGATGTACTATAACGTAACGATGACGGAGTGATGAATAGCTACCGATTATTACTACTGAATACTAATGGTATAACTGAACAAAATGACGTCATGATTTCGGTACACTTTAGACGGGTTTTATGTGGTCATCGATACGGTTTACTACTGTACTACACTTGGTTCAAGTTTCAATGTAATGATGACGAAGTTGTTTAGTGTATATTGTCCGTAAAATATAAGATTTTTATTATTTAACAGGCTTGATTTTGTTCTTGATAGGAGAAATAATTCAAGTTACGAAGAGCTTGTGTTATTTCAACTTCAAGTTTTGGATTAGAGGTAGAAAAAGGGCTGCCCTGTTATCTTAATGAAAGGAATTCGACATAATAAGTGTAGAGAATTCCCTCATATTATTTGCTTTCATATATACTTCATGAAAGTGGCTAGAACAAGAGCCGTTTAAACTTTGCTTAAAAAAGATGATCAAGCTATCTTCGTAAACACATTCATTAAATGCTGTCATGACACAAATTACTTAATCAGAGAATCCTAAAAAGGCAGATACCGGGTCTCATTAACTTTAAATTATATATTTTAAAATGCATGGATAAGCTTATTTGGGCGGTAGTTTGAAACCATGGAATGCCATTAATTTTTTTGGCTTCAATACAAGTACTATACAAATTCAATGGTAGATAGTACTTTTTACAAGAAATTTTTATCTTATAGAAGAAGTTAGTTACCTGTTCTCGAGGACTGTTAGGACTCTGACCAGTGTTCCGATCATATGCTGCTCTAAGAAACGGCATGTACTTGGCTCCGTTGCATTCTGGGTCGTACATGTGGTCACATTTGTCCACTGGTATGCGATGGTGCTCGATAGGACAGCCCGACTCGGATGCCATTACAATCTCGCCGGTTACGACCTGGCCTGCAAAAAAGCAATCAGATAAAGAAACGTGGATGGATGCATTGCTTTTTTGCATTAAGTGTTTGAATTCCTTTGGGTTAAATAGTGTTGAAACAGTCTATAGATCATACATTAAATATATCTGTAATTAGTTATGTATCTAGGATAGTTTTACTACCTGGAGATAGGCATTGGAGAATCGGGGGTACTAGTTGATGGTTGGGGTGTTTTTTCCTGGACACCCTGGACTTTTCTCCACAAAAAGTTAGGCAGATTTTGAATTTTAACCCCGTAATAAAAAATTATAATCTTACCAAAGAACGCCAATAATGCTGTCCTGTTTGCTAACGAAGGTAACCCATCTTGTCCTCTCATGAAGAGTTTGGATAATGTTCTGGCGCCGGGTCTGTCGACGCCTGCCATCATGTAGACTCCATCAGCGTATGATGCTGGAGTTTTGCGTGTGAGACGACTACCTGTGAACAAAGAAAAGTGTTATTAATGCTGTAAAGGTACACCAATGTGTAAAGACGATATAATCATTTACCTATCTGCCACTAAAACCATTACCTACCATCAAAAGTTTAAATTGATGTTTGTTACTTAACCGTGTTAGAACTACTGGAGAGATCTGAATGAATTATGTTCCGTTAAAATATTGTTGTATTATCGAAACGTAATCTTTATATTGCGCATTGCAGTAGTGAAGTAATATGTGCAAGGAGGATTAATAATAATTAACAATGGCATTGCACGCTATTTAATTTTATGAAGATCATCAAACAAGTAGGAAATCATATCGGCATATGAATAAGTAATAAATATTCTAATGCAATATTGGGTCATAAATTTTATTTTTACTACCGTAGTTACTCTTCATTACGACGACTAACAATATTTTTAATGTGAGTAATAAAATAATAACTATTAACGTGGATTAATGTTATCAAAGTTATTTAAAATGGGTTTTCATTGAAATTATTTTTGTCTTTGTTATCGTATGTGCATATGTATGGTTTTTACCGTGTCGCCGTATGTAATGTTTTTGATAGATAGATAAACTGAAAACTAGATGTAATAAATAATTAATTATTGCATTTCTACGTTGTATTTCTTTATGTCATTTATCAAAACGAAAGTTGTTTAGAACATATCGTAATTTAAACACTGAACAGACATTAATATTAAGAGCTTTAATGGAGAAATAATGTAAGTTATTTATGTTTGTTGAAAAAGGTAGTATCGTTGATGTTTGCACCGATTCAGGTTGTCACATGAGTTATTTATCGCGTGTTTTATTGTAACTGTTTTATATAAACATGGAACTACATAGTTGACAGACACGTAGCGTACATACGGATCTAACACCATGCCTTATTATTAGGTATCTATTTAGTTTAGTAAATAGATACCTATAAGGTAGTCACTCGATATTTGTATACTTATAATAAAATCCGGCCGTTATGTATTTTATTTATTTTATTATTTATGTACACACATACAACACTAAAGACAACACATTATATAAAAACGAGGTATATAGGTTATGATAAGTATCCTGTATCCTGTATCCTGCACATGCAGCAAAAGTATCTAGTAAATGAATAGTAATCTAGTCTCTAGTTATACATTTTTACTATGAACAATTATTTAAATATATAGTACGGTGACAATAATTGTTGTTTGATGACAGGTAAGCCAACATTTGCACGTTTCACAATAATTTTTAATACACATATTTGATAGCCCTCCATCGTGTTCGTTCAACATAAGAAAAAATTTAATGCGAAATGAAAATCCAATAATACTTTAAAAGGTTAATTAAATAACATTAAAGTTTACAACAATAACAATAATGCTTACGTTAAATAACCAGTGATTACTTGGAAAGTAGGACCGATTCAGTTTCAGACAAACGTGCATAATGAGCCGAGTAATATCTATCAGAAGTGAATGTTCCGCTCACTCTCGTAAAATTGAAGCTCTCGGAGACTGTTCTGTGTTGGGTAATATCCTTTCTGATAGTCCTGAGTACAATCACTGTTTTTATATATAACCGTTGTTGTTATACACAATCACTGTTTGATTAGTTATAGTTTTGAACATTATAACAAGCCTCTTAGGTATTCTTTGATTTGACAAAATTGGACCAACGAAATTCCACGTCAATAATTAGAATATCAAATACCTACATATTTTATTAAAACCGACAAGGAGATTGCACCTTATTCTGTAGTTATGTTATGATTTGAATCAAGCTTGTACTTTCAAACTTTAATTATTTTTTGTGTTTAAAACCAAAAAGTGATGCATGCACTCTGGAGACTAGTTTTTTCTCTACAACATTGTTTGTATTTGGCACCCTTCCGGTACATCAAGGTCGAGTAATCTTGTTCCTTGTAATTGGAGCATATAATAAATAGTACCTAGAGATAATCTACCCATAGCTACAAATATGGTGATGATATGTTACACATTGTTATTTCAAGTTTTCATTGGATTCTATTTATGCATTCATGGTTATAATTGTGTTTACCTTATTTAGAGCAATGAGAACAAAAGGTATAGTGCATAATATAATGTCTTCATTGATATGCATTTCGACTATTTTTTTAACTGCATCTATGTCTGTAGCAGTGCATGTATTTGCATTAGTCACTACAGTCGGACATTCTACTCTTTAACGAGATAAATATTTGTATAATTTACGAATAGTTTCACATTCATGTTGCCTTTCACATAATTTTAAAATAAGTACCAACCTAATCCAACAAAATTTAATAAGTTTACATATTAGGTTTGTGTCTGATATCTTACTCAGATCGATATTTTACCACTGTTTTGGATCGTTTACTCGTTGCATTAATCATTCTTAATTCAATATTTATAGCCTTTCCATAATGGTTTGTACGGATTAACTCGTCGAGTACCGGTTTTATAGACACAATTAAAGAACAATAGGTCGCGGTCACCGGTGACCGCTTGGTGTTTGACAGATTAAGGCCCGCTTCATACTTTACTAGCGAACAAATATGGAGTAACAACAAAACATTTAAGTTTGAAATACGGGGAAATAACAAAGTTAAACTTACTTAATCAACATATTAGTCTATGGAAATTGGAAAATCAACTAAATTTTTTTTTATGAGGTAAGCCGGTAAACGGGCAGACACATCACCTGATGGTAAGCAATAGGCGTCGGTCGCCCATGGACACCCGAAACACCAGAGGCGTTACAAGTGCGTTACCGGCTTTTTGGAAATTAGGAGTTTGAGGATTGTGGGGGATTCGGGGATTGGGGATACTGGGTAACCTCACTCACACGACGAAACACAACGCAACCGTTGTTTCACGTCTGTTTTCTGCGAGGCCGTGGTATCACTCCGGTCGAGCCGGCACACTCGTGCCGAATGCGTTAATAGTACGTAATTATCTACAACGTTGGCAGAAAAACTGTAAAAATTGTAACATTTGTGCATACGGACTAAATATTCACCTTAATTCAGTCGCGTGATTTTATAACGAATGCCAATTTCCAAGAAAAATTACTCAAATTCAAGCTTGTCTTGTTTGACAGGTCACTGAAAACGACGATTAAATTTTTGCTCCAATTTAGCGAAGCCTGTTTTATTTCGATTTTCGATAAACAAACAGTAGGTAGTAATTAATATTACAGCTTTAAAATCATATTATGATTTTTATGATTTACGATTCCTTTTGTCACGATCTGTACCGTAATTATAATGTCTGCTATAGTTTTTATTTAGCTCAATATTTAAATAAATAAAAGAACACTGAATAAAAAGCGACGATACCTTAATTATATTTTTAGTTTGACGTCTTGAAACAGACTTAAATAAATAGGATATAGGATTTCGAAAACGTTAAATTTTACAAAACTACAAAGATTATATGCAGTAAAATTTGATTTAATTGATTGCCAAATGATTATGATTATGTCGAAAATAATAATTGATAGGAGTCTGGTTGACGAACCAGTCATTTATAAATAACATTTCTAACTTTCACATTAAGTTCGAAACATAGCTGGTTGTTTTATATGAATAGAAATTTATATATGTCAAAGCTAATACATTATTTGTTAGTGATCATGACAGGACTAACGATGAAATGAGGCGTAAAATTAATTAGATTAAATTATTATGCGCATGTTAATCTCAATTAATTAAATTGATATTAGCTAGGTATAAGATTATTTACGTAGAAGTTAGACGGGTATGTAATTTGATTGATAGGGACAACTCTATTATATCTGGTTTTATATTACGGCTACATGTACCTATATAATAAGAGTTATTTATCATACGTGTGATCTAGAAGAGAAATTATGACTTGCTCTTATTGATAAAGTTGATTTATATGATGATACATGAACAATTACATTTTTATTCTTAGTTTCTACTTCACTATGTGAGCAATTGTAACCAATTTACACGTTTAAGAGAAAATAAAAATTCTATTCTATCCAATTGCTGTGTGAGAGAGTTGAATTTAGAAGTAGTATAACTAATTATACGTTTTATTTAAATACTGGCTTCTGCTTCTTACGCGCAATCCCGTTTGCTCCCGTTCCCGTTCGTAATTTTCGATAAAAAGTAAAAAAATAATTAAATCAAAATCTCTTCACCAATTTTCATTCAAATCGATTTAGCCATTCTTGAGTTTAGTGTAACTAACACGACTTTGTTTTATATACATAGATACATAGATTTGTCCAGGGTTACCGGAAAGACTTCATATTTAATGACATTAATTCATATGATTATACATTAATCTTAAGTGCACTTATCGGTTGCAAAAATTTCTTTTCTTCACATTTAATAGCCAAAGTATCAAAAAGCCTGAAGTTTGATTGTAGCATAAAATATAATCGTAAAATTAAAATCGCGTAAAGTTTATGTCACGATTGAAATTAATTTATGTAAACTTGCACATACTTTGTAATCGAAAGCATTTTAACTTGTTTTATATGGCGTCCATCGCCATTAATTTTATATGATTTGAATAGTAATGTGTGCCATTAAAACTTTCAATTTTGTCATAATATATGAAGTGAAAAAAAATTATAGTTGCGAATTGAATTATGGAATAGCAGTAACTCGTTAACTAACGAATTATTTATTTCATATGGATTTGTAAGAAAATAAACATTTAGTATGTAATTAATATTTGTTTTTGTTCATCATATTTATTTTATGGCTTCAGACTTCAATCTCTAAAAGATGCATACATAAAGGGGACTATTATAATAGACTAGTTTATCAATGCGTCGAGTCACAAAACGGATTTGAGTGCGCGCGTGACACTAGGTGGTGCAACTTTGTGACTACGAGTATTACCATGAACCACGAATTAGGGACAAGAAGATTTCAACTCGAACTCAAATTACACACCAAGCCTTATAAACTTTACTCATCATAGTCATTATCGATTGATTATTATATATCGATAGTCG